TCTTATGCCGCCAGAGTCCTGAGCTCCCGAAGCACCGGGTTTAAATAATAACCAGGAAACAATGAACAGGTTTACGTAATAAACTAAAAACAATATGAAAAGTGTAGGAGCCCCCTCTAGAGGGGGGAGACGACCATGACATCATGCTATTTTAAATCTGTGCCAAAGAAAGTCTAGGAATGTTATCAAAAGCTCTGGACAAAGAACTGAGAGACCAGCAAGCAGGATTCAGACACTATGCACTGACCACAATTCCATGCTGCATATCATTGTCAAACAGACCATAAAATAGATTGCATTCTTATATCTCATATTTGCGGACTTCCAGAAAGCCTTTGACAGCCTTGATCAAACAATCTTATGGAAAGCCATGGCATATTATTACTTGTTGAATTGTTCACAACAGATATCTCACCAACAGCTGGAAACAGGAGTTGGACAGGCTACCTACTGTCTCTGTTACTCTTCCTCCTGGTCACTGACTAGATAATGAGGGAAACCACTACTGGCAGAATCTTGCAATGCAGTGGATACCCTGGTCCCAGTTAGAAGACCTGGACTTCCCTGGCGGCATTGTCCTCATGTCTCACACAAAGAATCAGATGCAAACCAAAACCTAAAAACTGTCAACTTACCATATTTACTATATGGTGGAGACATGGATGACAACAAGAAACACAAACAATACACTTAAGATCTTCATAAATAAATGCCTGAGAAACATCTTTTGTACACTGGCCAAACATACAGTAATAAGTAATGAACATCTACTGCATGGAAGAGAAGGAACCAAGAACAAACACAAATTAAACATTGGGCACTCAATGAGAAAACCAATAACTAACACCAAGCATGCCCCCTCTTGAAATCCACAGGGGAAGAGGAAAGGAAGATCAAGAAACAGCTGGAGAAAAACAGTGGAGGCCGAACTGAAAGAAACAAGAACATCATGGAGGATGATGGAGAGAACAGCACAGCATCGAGAGGAAAAGGTTTGTGGATGACCTTTAGACCCCAGAGATCAAAAGGTTGGAAGAAGAAGAACATATGTTCATATTCGGGACATTAGATTATTTTATAGCCCAAGGTACTGTAGGTGCTTTTCACTGTACATAATTTTGATAAGCTCTGCCCTGTTTATGCAATAAGAGATCTAATTTGCATTATTTAAAATATATCCTTCTTGTTTGATGTAGTAACACATTAGATACTGTAACTAGAATGCTAGGCAGAATAGCTTGCACTTGGGATAACAATATGGTTTCTGATTCTGAAATAGGCATGTATAGTATTTGGCAAATGAGTAGGTGAGAAAAATGTGATACATACTGTAGATACAGTATTTTGTTTTAAGTCATTCAATGAGGAACAATTATCTTAAGAATTGCGTAGCTGAGAAGTCCAGATTAGAAAATAAACAAATATTTGATTGTATCTATACTGTAGATCAATCCTAATTTTAATGTGTTGCTTTATACAGTTAATATAAAACATACATGTACATTTATGTATATACTGTACAATGTAATACAATGAGACATACAATTTCCTTAACTGAGATTATTGAGCATTAGGTGAAAACTTCTGAAACACTTTTATCTTGAAATATGAATCCTCTGAAGACTTTTCAATCTATGAAGTATAAATTGTCATGCAACACTCTCTAATATCAATGAATCTTTCCATCATCGTTGTATCCTTATAATACCATGTCTCCTATAAATCAATCCCTCCTTTTATATGAGAGGTGTAATGATGTTGGAAGAGCTCAATTTCAAGATTTCCTTCATTACCCAGGTTTTACTTAAAAGTGAATAGCTTTAAAGTATGTGTTATCATGCTCAACAACTTTGAGTGTTCATCTGTTTGTTTGAAGTTTATTGTTTTTACCTTCTTGAACAAAATTGTCCTATTATGTCCTTGGGAGCAGATTCCATGTCATAGTTATTAAGTTTTTCAGATAATATTTTTCTGTTTTCTTTCAGAAGAACTAGATTGTAGCCTTTTTTGTAATTGGCACAGTATGTGGTAAACTATCATGTTGCAATTTTCATCAATTACATTTTTTAGACAGGGAGCTTTAAACCATTATGGATGCTGCTATTTTATTCCCACAAACATGTTTCCTTGATTTCTTAGATAATAGCTTATTGACATGGTTGAAAGTTTAAAACAAATTCTTAACTTTTTATGTTTGCTATGTTCTTATACAGAAAGTTAAACAAAACCATACAACTAAAGCATAGACAGTGTTCTGGATAATTACAAGGTTAAGACAGGTGTGGCATGATTCAATGGAGTTTTTTTTAAACTGTAAATGTAAGACATTACATTAAGAAATGTACAGTAAGACATTGTTTGAATCTTCCACAATAAATAAATCCTTCTACATTGTCTTGTCACATTTAAATAACTGTCATTTACAATTCATTGTTTCACCTAATACTTCGACAGCCATTGAATATACAGTAAATGAGTCTTCTGAATTAGCAATTTATTACTCCTTTATGTCCATTCCATTTCATACTTGGCTTTTCCTTGGATAACTACATTACTTCTTTAGGAAATAGGGTGCACAACTATGAAGCAATTGATGCTTTTTTGTAAGTGTATCATTATACAGTTTCTACCTTTTTCTGCATGCCAGTATCTTTTGTTTGCTTATTGCTTACTTTACGGACATTACGTTAACTTTGACAATAAAGATCCCTTTTCACAATCTTCCTCAATAAGTACTTTCTAGTTTCATGCTGGTTTATGCAATATACTGTATATAATACATGTATTTGCCTACTCCTAAATCCCAGGATCATGTTTTTGTTTTAGATTCAGCAAGCGTGTTGTAATTCTGGTCTGAATTTATTAAAAAATACCAAAGTTTACTAGCTTACTGTTTTTTACTGTCATCCACACAATGTGCATGTCTTTCAAAGAGGAAAAGGAGAGCATTTTATATTAAAAGTGCTTTTAGCAACTATGAAGAAAAATGCATTTAAAGAAGAAAAGGTGTATAACAAAATCTATTTTCTTACAGCTTCATCTAATTCCAGGTTGTGGGGGAACTAAAGCCTATTGTGGTAAGCAACAGGCGCAAAGCAGAGTACTGTTCATCCTGGACAAGACACCATTGCAGGGCACACACAGACGCAAACACGCACTAAAGTGCACAAGGGTCAATTTTCCAGGAAGCCAATTTACTTACTACTATGTCTTTGGATTGTGGAGGAAAACAAATGTCCCTTGGAGGCAACACATGCAAACATGTGGAGAGCATATAAACTCCATGCAGACAGCACCATAGGAATCGAACCCAGGGCCCAGGCACTTTGAGGTAGTGTTGTTAACCCTGAGGCGCTGTGCCACCCCTAAGAATTTAATATTTTTTAATCCAATTTACCAGGACTCATTTCAACAGTGTCATATTTTTTTTCTGTCACTTACAGTACTTTACTCCCTTAAACTCAATTTAACAGCATTCTATGAGCCGTTTGTTTCCTTCTCCCACAGGTATTGTTTTCGGTTATTTCCTGAGTGTATCATATCATTGCTATGTTGGAGGGCAACTCACTTGGACTAATGAACTTGTTTCCCAGTTGCATGGCTGGCAATGAGTTGCATTATTAAGTCCTTTTCTTTTTAATTCGTTCCCTTAATGTACAAAATATAAAGTTTTTTTTTAACTTCTCCAAGAAAAGGTTTGTCTTTGTTTCCATATTAGAGTTTTTTTTCCTTATCAATGGCACATAGGCTATTAGTTTTTAATATTAACACTTGACCCAGCAGCAGTAATGTATTATTGGACCTTAATATTTCACACAAAGTGACAGTATCAAATGATTTTTACAACTATAATGGCAATAGCATTTTAACATTTAAGAACACCTTAAGGCATAACCTATGGCAGCAAATTTCACATTAGTAATAAAATATGTGAGCTTAATATAGTCAGAAATGGCAGCGCATCCTGAGGCCACATGGTTCTTTATAGCAATTCTGCTATTCTGGTAGGTAATAAAAAACTAAAGTTAAAAAAAGTTCCACAACTACAGTCGCAAAAATGATGTTTGGTAAAATTATTTAATCATCACATTGCATCCTACACATAAAGTGAAGGTTTTCAAGATTATCTATCCATTACCCGAAAACAACATATTCCTGGTAATGCTCGTGGAAACTTGAAGAATATCCTAAAGGTTTAGGGTATAAGGATAGACTACATCCTGGGCAGGGTGCCTGTCCATCCCCAAACACACAGACAATCTTTGGTGCCACCAATTAGTCTAGCCAGCATGTCTTTGGAAGTTGGGAGGAAATGCCCACACAAATTTCACACATGAGGCTTTCCAGTCCGGAACTGAACCCAGGACCCAAGAGTTGTACCATCCCACATCTTTCCCACCTACTGTATAACAAGCCTTATCTAAAGAAATACTAAAGTCTAAAACTAGTCAACGTTTAAATAAAATGAAAAATATAATTTCTCAAGAGAATAATTAGAATCTAATTAGAATTAGATTTTTTAATAATCTTTTTCTAACACACAGTAAGGAAAATTCCTATTTGGAATAGCCATCTGTGTGTTTATCATCTCTCAATGCACAGTTACAAACCCTCTGACCTTACATGGGAAAAATAATGAAGTGTAGGAAGATTCATTCAACCCACCCTTCCACCTTGGAGCCAATTGTTTTTTAACACTTTACAGGCTATATTACTAAAGTTTCAGCACCAGCTGATGGAGAAGTACAGTACATCACTCACTTACAGTACAACACTGCAAGTCTGCAAGCACACAAGGTTACAAGGGTCTCTGAGTTCTTGAGAACACCTTAACACCTTCTGATTTAATCTGGGCCTATAGGTTTAAGTTCACTACAACAAAGAAAAAAGAAGTTTGCTTTAAGATTTAAAAAACAAGTACATTTTGATCTAAAGCATTTTTACAACCAGAAAAAGACTGCTGCTACACTATATGTGAAATCATGGATTCTGTTTTCTACTCTGTTTTTATACCTTTTGCAATCACGTACCTTAAAGAATATCCTTTTGGATCCTGTTTAAATTGCTTGCATATCTCATCATTTGAGGACTCTTGGAGAGAAGGCAGCTCCTCAGAAGTAACACGCAAAGCAGCCAAGCACAATTTTCTCTCCAGGCCCTTTTCACCACAACACTTGCAGATTTCTGGATGTTTTGGAAATGGCGAATCTTTTCCACAGGAGATTTCAGACATTTTAGTGGCCTGATGAAAGAAAACATTGCATTTTTAAAAAAATAAACAAGATATAGTAGATACTCTGAAATTGCAATGACCATTACTGAACATAAAATATTTCTAATGCAGTTGATTACAAAAAACGGTAATTACAGAATTTGAGATAAATTTAAATTTATAAAGGAGTGTTGTGACTTCAGTATACTTTCTTAGAACCTTGGTATATTTAAAGCCCACCTTTTGCTTTCTCAAGAGAACTGAGTATGTGGTACAGTATGTGTAAATATAGGCAACAGGGTGGTATTTTAATGTCTGCCAGCCAGTTAACACAGCAACCAAAGAAATAGTGCAATTCTATTTCCTAGCTATGTATTGTATTTAATTCAAGTCCTAGCAGCCTCCCCCTTAGCTAATGGAGGTAAGTAGATTAATAAAGAAAAAGTGAAGTGTCTCTCAAGGTTTTTTTTTCCTTTGCTGAAGCATTCAGCCAACAAAAGCTCAGAATGTGAAATTTAATAATACTCTGATATTGATTTGTTTGATTTTTTAAATGGATCTGGAGGTGTAATGAACTCATGGAAAATAAGGCCTACAATACTGTAGGTAACATTTTCCCAGTCAAATTCTTCTGAAAATGTTTTTGCAAGGTGTACGATATTCTGCTAATTGCTCATTCTGGCATTATCAAGTCTACTGCAATAAACTATAAAAGTTTATAGCACTATTACCAACAGCTATAGTAGGATCACATGGCTCATTAGCTACAGTTTGTATTATAAAGCAGGCATGGTTTTATTTCAAATTAATTGTCGTGTTTAATGTCTTTTACTCCAAAGCAAAATTTTCTCATTTTCTGAAAGCACATAAATGTTCTCTTTCAAGGGATACTGTACTTTCGGAATGAACAAAAGAAACAAGGAGCAATTTTTCATATTCACAAAGTTATAGAAAAAATGTTGAGCTTGTTTTGCAGAGAAAATGTTTTATCTGTGCTCACACCTGAAGAAAGTTCTATAAAATATTCTATAAAATGTGTGTTATATTCTTTCTCTTTTCAGTGTGGAATTACAGTAACTCAAGGGTGTTAACCTCTTCACAGCGGAGGGGCTGAGATGGGCTAGACAGAAAATTGGGAACATGGGCTATACATTTGACCAAACAAACTTATTTGTTTTTTTAAAGGGAACTGCAACTCTGTTTTTATATGTAGGGGTTATAATGAATCAACAATGATTAATGCATGTGAAACCACAATGAAACTACCAGATTTATACTGTAAACACAAACATAATTTCAATTACCTTACATTGTATTATTTACCTACTATATATAACAATTCAGTTGAACAAGACAGAACAACAATAACATCAACAACTATTAAAATAAATATACAACTAAAGTTTCAACTTAGGTGCACCTGTCCCTTAACTGATCAAGTTGGTATTTTACTTCCAGTCAAACCAAATGCTTATGACCAATATTTCAAATACTTTTTACAGTTTGTATAGGGGTGGGTATTGGAGATCTTTGTAAAAATAACAAAAGCAATTACACTCTTAACTTAAAATAAGACAAAAAACTATAAGGCACATAAAAGCACAAAACTGATTTGCCAGATGGCAAAACAATAAATACAAGTGATTTCTGAAACACAATCAACATTTCCATTAAACATGCAAAAAAGCGTCAACCATAAATAATCACTGATTAAAAAAAGATACTGAGCAAAAGTAATTTATCACTTGTATTTAGTTTAATGTTTACAGAGTTTAGAGTTGTGTATTACTGGGTAGAAATAATGGTTTTGACACTTATCAGGTGTTGTCAAGTGATGTTACTCCCCTTTGTAAATAACTTCAATGAAATGTTGTTTCAGTTCTGATAGTATGCATAGATCCAATCATTCCACAGGGAAAGCTGTCTTGTTCAATAATTTTTAATTTTTAGTTATTTTTTCTGTGATGGATGATTTTGACTAATGTCTTTTACTGTAGTTACAATGAAACTTCATAACTGCATTTTTATTTTGATAAATATATATTTACAAAGTAGGAGTAATACTGCCATGTTTTACATATTTCCATTTAAATCAGGTTATTAAAACCAGTTTCCTTTGATAAATGTTTTATTGTATTTGAAAGAGCCTCCTGAAAATGGTCGAGCAAGTTTCTAAATAATTTATTTTCATAAGAAACAAAGTGGCAGAATCCTAAAAATCACCCCAGAAGCCAATTGCTTGTTAGGATTGTTACTTTCTGTTCTGATTTGAATGTAGAATCACCCTAAGGAGATTCAGTTCACATAGTTTTCTCATGATGTGAAATGTAAATCTAAGGTTATAATTATGTTTTCAACACATTACATAATTAACCGAGTCTGAAAAAGACTTTGAATTGAGGGAATAAAGCGGCTCAACTGGGGCGAGTTATCTGGTCTTGATGGCCTGATGGGGATGATTTCTTTGTCACCCAAAGCTGATAAAGATGTAAATCTAGATTATTTGTCATTCCATGCCATTGTGAAATCACACTTTTGAATTGTGATGAAAATTGTTGCTTCACTATAAGCAAGAATTCTATGGTTAGTATACTTTGGTTTATGTTGTCCTAGATGAAGATATATCACTGAAAGACATTCTGTATCAGTAACAATATGCATTTAGTACTTGACATGTTGGATTATAGTTTCTGTTGAGCGTTATATTTATTTTTATTTTTTAAAGAATTTGATTTGATGGGAATTTACTTTGTGAAGATTATATCAGTAATTTGAGAGAAAGGTTAGATCCTAATCTTGCACTTAGGACTTCCCCACTGTGCATCTCTTTCGCACCCCTCTTGCCACCCCTTCTACACCCTCGCAGCAGTTCCTGGGTCAATCCTCAAAATAGTGAGGGGGGGGTTGGGCATCTTATCCTCACAGCTAGGCTGTCATTCCCTCAGCTAGATGCCTTATGTCCAATACACTCTAGATGGCTCATCTCTCTTTCGCGTTCATTAGCATCTAACCAAACTACTGAATTGTTTATGGCCTTATATAGACAGTATGGTAATATTAAGCATATGATTTATTGATTATATAAAAAATCATTTTGAAATAAAATCAGCTTAATTGGTCTATCTGAATCTACCTCTCCAAGCTTTAGCATTGAAAGAATATTTGTCACAGTCACCAATTATCTCCTTTTTTTTTTTTTGGTCTGGATTCAGAGACTCTTGACATTTTGTTTGACACTTAGACCCTTCAAAGGAATTAAAATGGGACACTATGAATTCATTATTTCTCAATTGACTGACTACATCACACATGTTAAAAGATAACTCTTGTCTTGAGCTTGGTATATATTGAAAAATGTTGTTTCTATTATTTGCTTATATTGAGATAAATGTGAATTCATCCAATTAAGAAACTCTAGCACTGTTTCTAGCAGGTACTATATGTGAAAACGTGATTGTGTCAGCTAACACTTCCTCCACGATCAGTTCTTGTTCTTTCACCGACACAAAGAGTTAATATCTTTAACTGTGATTCCCCCCTAAATAATACAAAAAATGTGATACCTACGCATTGGCTAAAAACTTTTAGTTGAAGAGAAACAAAAGATTATTTTTGCAGTTAAGAAAAAAAGTATGCTTTGAGCTCAGTGTATGTGTTTGTGTGAAAAAAATAAGTATTCTGTAGCTCAGTAAATTATACGTGTACTGTATGTTTGTTAGAAATAACACAATCATATCTGATTTCTCGAAATTGCTCTAATTTTCTCTCTTCACTAATAACAGTAAACTGATGCAGTGAAAGACAGATGTAACTCCAGCGGATCAGCATCCTATCTTATTAAAAAAATTAATGAAAAAGTCTGTATGGAAACTCTATGTAAGCTTCCACACATGTAAAGCTCATCACTAGTGAGACTTATACTTCATACACCATTACATACATGGTATACTGCATATGGTATATGATCAGGTGGGTAGCTGCGTCAGCATGCGTAGGCTGCAAAGGAACAAGTAATAGGTTTATTCCATGCTGAAAAAAAGAAGAAAGAGAACACAACGTGTGGGCACCTGAAGAAGGCTCCACGGCCAAAACGTTGTGTTCTCTTTCTTCTTTTTTTTTCAGCATGTAATAAACCTATTACTTGTTCCTTTATAGTATATGATAATCACCAAGAGAAGCGAATCACTTTATTTATTCATTCAATTTTTTCAGAACAAATATTCTTATTTCAGATATTGATTAATATTTTAATTAATGGTCTTTTAATTAATCAATCAAGATTGACCATGATATTCCTGAGTGACTTTGATAGTTACTCAAGCACTATATCAGCTCAGTTGTGAAAGTGTTGATTTGCCACAGGGGATGAGGCAATTTAACATGCTGAATGTGAAACATGGTGAAAATCAAATAAGAAAAACATAGAAAGGAACTATAATGCTTCATTCATCAAGGGTATAATGCATTAATGTTCCCTCTTTCTCTTGTTCCAATGACTAATTTAGCTTTTTTGTCTTAGATTTTGTGTACAAACAAAATAAAATTAATTATATCACCGAATAAAACTTTAGGACACTACATTATGATTTGTGTTTTTGTCGAAATGCTAAACCATTTGCAATGCTTCAGTTATTAAAATAAGAATGTATGCATAATAAACAATGTTACTAGCATCTAGAGACCAGGAAATGCAATATAGCTTTGAGTACAATAATTTAATATAATGAAAGACTGACAACATAATTTTCATTTGTTTAGTTACAGATTGTCTGTGCCTGTGGAGCATTTAAAAACTAAAATTGAATCAATGCAGTGCTGGTAGGTTTCTGCTTCTGAAGAGATATTTACAAGGTGGACAAACACATTTTCCCTTGTTAAAAGACAGCTCACCCAGCTATAAATGGTTCCAGATATATAATCAATCTAGGCACTCTACGTGTAAAAAAGCACTTTGTTGCTTGGGAGCCTATCTGATCCCAAGTTACCTGGCATCAGATTCTGATGTCTCCACTTTCAATTGTAAACTGTCT